TCATTTTATTATTCTTGTTTGTCCAATATGCTCCAAGTGCAAACTTTTTGCTAATATCCAAAAAGTATAATTAAAAATTTTTGGCCTCAGCTCGGATAAACAAAACAATTTGAAGTGGCCGAACGAACAGGCCGACTACGTGCTACCCTGTAAAATGCAAATTCTGATTAAGTTGACTTTATTAAGCCCCGGGCTAAGCCGACTAAGGTAACTAAGGAAAAACAAACAAAGTAAATTTGTTGATACATTTTCCGAGCTAATTATAAATTATAATAAGCAGTCACAGTGTGCGTGCGTGTGTGTGTGTGAGAAAACTGCTTGCATATCTCACGCGCCGGCAAATTTTACCAGATATATTAATGAAATTATTCAAAAACTTTGCCGGCTCTGCTGTTATTTTTGTTGTTGTTGTTGTTGTTATCAAAAATAAGCAAACAAAGCGGCAACAATTCGCACACTTTGGCGCCAGCGGCTACGCAATTAATTTTACTTAACATTCATGGACAAAATGAGGCACGTAGCCGATAATGAAAGCCGCAACATGCTACGCCCCCCCCCTCCCCATACTCACCCCTCCCCCCCTCAACACACCACAAGCAGGCACACGCCCACACAGACACAGCCACGCCCACACTAATTGTGCTAACAACTTGATTCCAGCTGAACGACTTACAACGACCGAATGGACACAAAGTCAGGGGGGGGGGGGGGGGGGGCGGGTGGAAGAGCTGGGCGCAGGGTTGCCAGACTATTCACGAAAATTTGCACCACATAAAAGGTTTTTATGACGTGTGGGGAACAACCCGCCCGAAAAAGTATGCTATCTAATTGTAAAGGCATCAAGCAAATGCCACAAATTTGTGCGCGCGCTCGCGTGTGTGTGTGTGTGTGTGTGTGTGTGGGCTCTAAAGATGCTCATACATATATTAGTTTTTGTGTGTGAGTGTGTGTTGCCTGGGCAAATCTAGGTGCCTTGACTGCTGCAGTTTCATAAATTTGAATTTCAAATTTAAGACAGTCCTAGACCTAGCAGCACACACACATACACACACACACACACATACAAAAACAAAGTTTGGTTGCGGCAAGTTACAAAGTTTCAATCCTCATGCAAATTGATTTGCGTCTTGTGTTTCGCCCACAATTTCTGCAGTTTACCTTACAATGTTGGCGAGTGTGTGCGTGTGTGTGTGTGTGTGTGTGCGTGTGCGTGTGCATATTTGATTAAGGTCTTATATGTTTGACATTCCAGTTAACATTGTTAGCTTAAAATCAACACGCAACTATTAACAAGAAATACGCATTTAAATTAATTAAAATGTCACTTTTGCCCAAAATAAACAAAACAATTCGCTTTGCTCGCAAATATACCCTGGCTCAAAGGGTATTATAAGTTTGACAAGGCCTTTGCTGCGTTCGTTTGTTTTTTTTCGTAGCATACTCTCGGGCGCCGCCGACAAAAGCATTTGAATATGCTTTAAATAGATATATAAATTATAAAATATGCATATGAGCATATATATATGTGTGTGTAGGATAGATCATAAATTATGCAATATATATATATATAAAGGAAATTATTTGAAAAAACCTTCCCCCTCCTTCCTCCTCTCTCTTCGCAGTCAGCGAGCCGTGATTTAAGGCAAAAAAAAAAAATATGGTGGGGAATCTATGAATTTTTTATGAGCCCGACTGTGTGTGCGTGTGTGTGTGTGTGTGAGATAAAATACAATATAAAAAAATAATTTGTACATTGTTATGATACTTTATGCACTGCTGATTGCAATTGTCATAATAATACAAATAATTATATACAATTTTCCATTTTCAGATGACGACAAGAAACCAAATTGAAAAATAAAAAAAAAAATCGCATATAAAATGTCAACAAGACGCAGCTAATTAAATTTGCAACTGAATAAAGCATGTTAATTGCATGTGACACCCTCAAACAGTGCGTGCAAATAGTACACACACACACACACGGAGACAACAGATGTGTGTGTGTGTGCTTTTCATTTAGTTTTCCAATTAAATTGCAATAGGCCAAAGGCAAAAGTCAACCGACTAAAGTTAAGAGTGCGGAAATTAAAAACAAAAGAAAAAAAAGCATGAATATGATATTAAAGAGAATTGAAATCAAATAGAAAAATATAATCGTCATATACACAATATATATAAATAATATATATATATATATACATAATCTGTACGCAATTGCACTTTATAATTGTTTATTTGATTTTCACTTCAAAGGAAAAAAAACCAAATACTGTGCCAACTTATAAACAAACAAAAAACGAAAATAGAATGAAACAAAATCTAGAAATATTATGAAAGTTAGCGTGTAATATGAAACTGAATATTAACTGGTATTTAAACGATGAATGTTGATGTTAGTCTTACATATATATACATACATACATATATATATATAATTATATAATTAATGTGAGTAATTCGACTTGTTGTATTGAATTGAGGAAACTTTCTTGTGTCTGGTGCTTTTTATTCGTTTTATTGATTTCAAATCATAAAATATATGTTTGAAAACTCAAAGAAACTGTCTTTTAATTAAATATGGATGTGGTCAAAATCGAATTTTCATGGTTTAACTGTTAGGTTAGAGTTTGAGCTTAAAAATAAAATTTCGACGTTGAGAATATTCAAATTTATATTGAAAATATTTTTTTTTAAATTGAGTAAGAAATTATTAAATATTATTATTATTTATATTAAAAAATATATACAAATGTTTATCATATTGTTAAAAACAAAATGAAGGCTGCAAAATTTAACTTGAGGATAAACTATGACCAAAATTGTAATTCCCATTAAAATCATTTAAGTTTGACAGAAGCTACAAAAGTTTAAGGTATAGAAAAAGGCGTTTTTTTGAAAGGTTTTTGTTTTAGAATTGAAAATATTTTGTACATTTAATTATTGTTAAAAATAATATGTAGGCTGCAAAATTTAACTTGAGGCTAAACTATGACCAAAATTGTAAGCATTTAAGTTTGACCAAAGATAGGCAAGTTTAAAGTGTAGAAAAGTGTATTTTTTTAAAGGAATTGCAAATATTTGATATTTTTGCAAGAAAGCAAAAGAAAGTTGATGTATAAGGCGAATTGTCTTAATGCTGGACACAAAAAGAAAGAGCACAGACCCGAAGAGATGCACACATTGAAGCCCAGACACAAACACACACAGACAGGCGCAGACAGCTTGACATAGTGTGTGTGTGTGTGTGTGTGTGTGTGTGTGGATAATGCAATAAAAACAACAAAAGGAATTTCGCACAGGTGCGAACCGACTCAGCCATAATTTATGTTCGAGCCGCGCGTTATGCAAATGAGCAGCCACTCGGCAAAAATCTCACAGCGCGCAATGCTCAAAAGAGCGATAATCATAAATGCGTGTGTGTGTGTGCTAGTGTGTGGGTGTGTGTGTGTGTGGGTGTGTGTGTGGGTGTGCAGGCCGGGTCAAGGTGCATGCACAGCCAAAAAGCCAAGCGGCCATTCACTTTAATTAACGGTTAACGACTGCAACTGGCGCCGAAAGGGGAGGAAAAGGGGCAGGTGTGTGTGTGTAGGGGGGGGGGGGCGTGGCAAGAGAGACAAGACGTCTCGCCAGTTGGCGGGTTTGCACACACAGTAGAACAGCGATAACCCAAGCGGGCCAGCAAAAATTGCAATTTGCTTATTGAAGTGGCAGCGAGCAGCCGAGAGCAAAAAACTGCGATAACGCAATGCCACAAAAAAGCAGAAGCAGAACAAAATCTAAAAAAATCGAGAGAAAAAGAAAACAAAGTCGAAAGCTTAATACACTTGCTTTGCCATTTGGCAGCTGTGCGGCATGTGAACAATACTGCGAATTGTTTGATAAACAAAAATTAGGTTTATCTCACTAAGCCGAAGATTAAATACCCTTGGGATATTTTTACTGCCAGCCGATTGCTATAGCAGCCATATAATATGGTGTTTAATATAATGTAGTAGTATATTCAAATTTTTCGACCGATTCTACATATGGAACTATATGATATATTAGTCCGATTTTGATTGAAAGCAAGTTTTAGGAAAATATCTTTAAAAAAAACTTTAACGATAACGATTCTTCCTATAGATCCATATGATATATTAGTCCGAATTTGATTGGAAGCAGGTTTAGGGAAAATTCTTAAAATCTTAAAAAGATTCTTTCTATATTCTTCCCATAGAGCTGTATAATGTAGTAGATCCGATGTTGATTGGAAAATTTTAGGAAAATATCTTAAAAAGAGTTTTTCAGGCAAGACTAACGATTCTTCCTATAGATCTATATGATATATAAGTCCGATTTTGATTGGAAGAAAGTTTGTTCAAAATATCTTAAAAAGAGTTTTTCAGGCAAGACTAACGATTCTTCCTATAGATCTATATGATATATTAGTCCGATGTTGATTGAAAGCAAGTTTTAGGAAAATTCTTAAAATCTTAAAAAGAGTTTTTCAGGCAAGAACTTAATTAACGATTAACGATTCTTCCTATAGATCTATATAATATATATTCTCCAATTTTGATTGGAAGAAAGTTTGTTCAAAATATCTTAAAAAGAGTTTTTCAGGCAAGACTAACGATTCTTCCTATAGAGCCATATAATATATATTACTCCGATTTTGATAGGAAGAAAGTTTGTTCAAAATATCTTAAAGATGTTTTTCAGGCAACAAACTTATATAGCTACGTATATATAGTAGACCGATTCGGCTGCCCCTAGGCTGAGAGACTAGCTGAAGAAATATACAAACAGACAGACAGACAGTAGAGCTTCGCTATAACAACCCCGACTTTGATCATAATCAAGTTTAAACATACCTCAATAATTAATGGGCTTGCAGATGTCTCCCGTTGCACGCGTTGCACATTGGGTGAGAAAATTGAGTTAACCTTTGGTAAGTGTATAAAATTGGTTAATAATATTAATAAGCATATTAGCACGCACAGCCTGTGAAATCCATTCGCAATCCGCCAGCCAATTGGAGTTGTCCTCATATCGTCGCCGAGAGCGACAAGTTAATCGATTTGTGTTGTAGAATCCGAGGCAAATGATTAAAATATAATCAAACTGGAAGCAACAGATTCATATCTTATCGTTGAACATGCGCGAGGGCTTACTGTGAATCATCGCTACTGAAATACTTTCCAATTTCTACGCAATTCCCAGAAGTCTGCTGCAATCAAAAAATAAAGTTTCTTTTAGATTTGTAAACAAAGAAAATCTAATTAAAATAAAAATTGGAAAAGGTGCATTAAAATGGGCGTCGCGGCGGATGATTTGCTGATTACATTGGCCGTAATATGCTTTTGTCTCTTCATCATACGCGTAAGCTATTGTTATTATTATTGTTAATACAATTATTTCAACTTGTTTGACATTGAATAATAGATCATTTTGATTGCCTATCGCTTTTACCTGCTGAAACGGCTGAAGGAGGCAACGCAAATCGAACAAGGTGAGCAAACATAATCGCAAATATTTGCACTAGTTTCTTGCACTCCGACAACACGGTTAGAGATGGTCTCGTGTCTCGTGCTTTTGCGCGTGACTAAATCGGGCATTTTTTCTAGAGTAGAAAACCTTTGGCTCAACAAAGGCGCAGAGAGTACAAAAAGCTTGGCTTCAGTTCAAATGAGTTGACTTTAAAGAGTCAAATAATTACGAAAATTGGCAGCTTAGCTCGTCTAATTACCCAAGTAATTAAACATCGTGCGCTTAATTACTCAAGTAATTGTTCATTGTGTGTTCAAATACCCATTTTAATGCACACTTACTGAAGTATATTTATTGTTAGGGCACAATTACTCAAGTAATTAAACTTTCCAGCCGCAATTACTTAATTAATTACAATTGCGAACACATTTATCTGAGTTAATTTAATTGTGAATGCACATTTACTTAACTAATCATGCTTTTAATGCACAATTACTCAAGTAATTACATCAACTCATCGCAATTACATGTAATTACAAATATTCGCTTGAGTAATTACATGGTTAGGATACAATTACTCAAGAACTATAGTCCTAATTGATAAACTAATTGAATTTCTTGAGAGTAATTAACTTTAAAATATGCAATTACTCTAGCAATTGCCTTGAAATTGGTTAATTACTAAAGAATTCGTCTTAACTGTTTTCATCTAGGACCAAAAATAAGAGTAATGCACATATTTTTACATATGAGACATGTGATAAAATCGAATCACATTTATATCTAAAATAACTTGCCCAATGAGGCTCAAAGACTTATAAGAACTGTCGTTGCATACGTATTTTCTGAAGTAATTACATTTTAAGCGCCTAATTACTCGAGTTTATATAAATATTATCCAAGTAATGACGTTTTTCGAGCATTCTAATAAATATAATATAATTAAAAAGAGTGTACAAATTAGTTAATGCGCTCTTAAAACTGTAGAAAAGTATGTTAGTTTAACTTATAATTAACATAAATTCAATTTTTCCAAATGAAAACTAAGCCCGTGCTTGTGCGTGCGCGTTTCTCATAACCGGAAGCCCATCCCTAAAGCTAATATGACGACCGTTAAAAAAAAAAGGCGAAACAAACGTCTTGACAATGGAAAACTTGCCATAAATCATAAAAACAATACGATACAGGCAATTACATACATATTTACATAGATATAGTCTATATATATATAGATATATAGATATACACATTCAGGCAGTTTTTGTGTGACATTTGCACACATTTATCATAGTGCCTCATTAGATAAAGTTGTGGCCCCTCCCCTCCCCTCCCCACCCCACCCCCTCGGCCCGTGATATGGCTCGGCGTGGCAGAGAAAAGCACACCGAACTTAAGCCCTGGCTAGGCACTGGTTTTGTCAACTTTATCAGCTAATGATTACAAAGCAAATATGTGAGCCGTGCCTGACCCATGATGACTGGTCGTCGTCGTCGCCGGGGCCCATCAATTTTTTCGGGCTGACTTCAATTCAATTCAGTTTGAACGGACACTTTGAGCGAAGCGAGACTAGTGAAAACTATTTTTGGAGTTGCGTCCGATACGAATGGCGTCCGCAACAACAGCAGCAGCAGCTGCAGCTGCAGCATTGAATGCAACAACAAGCACCGTGTCGAGCATTGTGAGCAGCTCGTATTCGGGTAGCACCGTTAGCACCAGCACAGCGTATCCGGAATACGGTGACGCACCGTATGTGCCCGTCTATACGCCGTCGCCGAGCTATGTGTACTTCTATTCCGGCTATGCCTTCTATATAGTGCTCCTATTTCTGTTTGTCATCCTGATGCCATTCGCAATCATAATGGTAACTTAATCCTAACAGTTTGGCCTAGGCTCCAATAGCTAATCGTCCGTCTCCCTCTCTATCTTTTTCTCAATGAAAACAAACGCAAATAGAGTTCGATGCAGCGCAAGCGTCAGGAGAACGCACGCAGGCTGGCCCTGCAGAGAGAACGAGGTAAATGTTTTGCCCTTTAATTTGTACTTTAATTCAATACCGAAACCGGGACCGGGACCGGGACCCAACTGCAGCTTGACTAGAGCACCTGCTTGAGTGCGGTGAGGAAGCCAAAGTTAATTAATCCCAAATAGAGGTAGTAGATATTCAGCTTGAACAGCTCCCAGCGTTCGCGCAGCTGCAAATGCCAGCGTTTGGCAGCGACCGTCTGTTGTGCCCGCTGCTCGGCATATGAGGATTGCACACAGAACTTGGACATCACCCAGAAGGCGGTCATGCGATTCTGTGTGCGCAGCGTCGCCTCAATGCCGCGTATCAGATCATTTGTCTTCAGTATGAGCAGCATCTGGCGATCCACCTGCTCCAGCACATCCGAAATGTGCGGCAACACCAGCGATGTGTTGCTCTGCAGCGTATTCTTCTGCAAGCGAGACAAATGACAAATGAAAGGGTATTCGAATGTTGTTGAATTGAGTGTGTGCAGCTCACCTCTTCTTTGGAATATTTGACTTTGGTTATGCCCTGCATGAGCGTGTCCCAGGGCCGACCCGTCACCATGCACACAAACAAGCCGTACAGATCCCCCTTGATGCCCAGCTGCTCGCTGTGCTGGCGCATCGACTTGCGATCGACGTTCAGTATGCTCAGCCAGAGCTTCGAGTATTCGTAGCGGAACTTGTCGCTTAGATTGGCATAGAGTCCGTGATCGAGAAGTATTATTTCCAAATTATTTTTGGGTGTCTGGCGCACGAGTATATTGCCCGGATGCGGATCGCTGTGCACAAAGCCCGTCGAGAAGATCATCTCCGAGTAGAGTTGACCAATTCGGCTGGCGACCGCGAAGGTATCAATTTTGTTGTCCTTGATGTAAGCCAAATCGGTGACATGACCGCCCTCCAAATACTCCATGACCAGCACACGGGATGTGCTCAGCTCCCAATAGATTTTGGGCACACGCAACCAGCTGTATTTCTTGAAGTGCTCGGCTACCTTTTCGGCATTGTGGCCCTCATTGAGAAAGTCCAGCTCAATGGGCAGATTCTGCAATCAAATCAATTTTAAATCTCTAAACCATAGTTTTCATTGCCAACTCACCTTCTTGGACTCCTCGACCAGCCATTGCACCTTGAAGTCGGGAAATATGCGCGCCAGCACTTTGACAGCCATTTCCATGGTCTTCATGTCCACGCGCGAGTTGCCCTTGACATATGGATGCTGCACTTTGACCGCCACAATTTCGCCCGTCTTGAGACGCGCCTTGTGCACCTGCGCCAATGAGGCGGTGCCCAGGGGCTCACGCTCGAAGCTATCGAATATATCCTCCGGATTGCGTTTTAAATCCTGCCTGATTACCTTATACAAATCCTCAATGGGATTCTGTGGCGCATCCGAGTGCAGCACTTTCATTGTCTGGACAAACTCCTTGGGCAAGAGATACTCCAGAGCGCCGATATGCTGGCCCACCTTGATATAGACGCCCCTATTGGTGCAGATCAGCTGCAGCAGCTTCTCGGCGGCTATTTTGTGCACGCGACTCTTCTCGGCCTTGTACTCGGGCGTCGACTTGTCCCACTCCTTGTAGTACAGCTCCCGCTTGTAGGTGAGCGCCACGTCAACCACGGCACAGGCTGAACGCGTCAGCCGCACAATGCCCAGCGAGTTGATCTCATAGTCATTTGTATGCAGGCTCAAACCGGTGCTGACGAGGCCAGCGCCCAGGACGCCATAGCCCAGGACACGTCGCAGCATCTATGGCAGGTTCGGAAGGCTCCGGGTACAGCACAGTTCGGCTGCAAAGATTAAACTGATTCGTTTTTATTTATGGCTGGCAGCGTGGCCTGTGCGCAATGAACCGTTAAATCAACAGGTTGTCATTCCGTTTTAGTGTTAACCCTTCACCTGTGCCCCAATTGCACACACGACAAAGAACCAGTTCCGCAGTTCAGCATGTCCAGAGTACTAGTTCAGCATGGCGCAAGAACCTTTGGACTGAACTTTGTTTTCATTTAACATGTGCTTGAGCTCTTAATTTGCACTTCATTTCGGTTGGATTTAGCTTTTTAAGCAACGCCAAATATTTAAAACTAAGCCTTTAAGCCTTGGCGTCGAACTTTCACTCATAATTGTATTGCCAAAACGAAAATCCATTTATCATACACTTTGCACTTTGTTAATATTCATCAAGTTAATTGATTAATTTAAGCTGCTTGACCCAAAACCTGTTGCTGGTGCATTAAGTCACATTTACATGTTTCCCCCAAAAGCCACTTTCACCATTTATTGACCGAACAACGTCAGCAATTGTTTGTCCATTACATAAATGAGACCAATCGAAATTTATATTTTTGCCAAACTTCTTGGCCAAATCGTTTCACTTACAAGCTGTGCGTGTGTTCAGTGTGTATTAGTTGCAATACATGTGGCTGTTTGTTAGTGACTGTTGCTAGCACTTACACTAAAAATGAGAAAAGGCAGCTTCAAAACTGTTGCTGCTGGGTCGGCAGCGCGCAACTAAACTGACTGTCAGCTGTTCAAGGCGCGTATGCAGCGCTTTGCCTGGGCTGTGATAAAAGCGCGAATGCGCAAAGTTATCGATAACTGAGTGGCCAGCTTTTTTAGTACAAGTCGATAAATCACGTTTTGAACTTGACGGACACAACAGATAAGATAACTTAATTATGATAATAAGTAAATAGCATATCGATAAGCTTGGAAATAGATAATATTCTTGTATAATCCATATGTTATTACATATATATTATTTACCTTCCCTCCAACAGCACGCCGCGAGATTGAAATAAGCGTCAACAGCAACATGAACAATGGCGGCGTCGATGGCAGCGTTTGCATTCAAGCTGATAATGACATGACCATATTGCCCAAGGGCATGGATCTGCCGCCTAGCTACGATGACCTTAACATCAGCAACAATGCGAAGCAGCAGCCGGGCAACATGGGCGCCTCCACGCTGACCATAACCACCGATTTGGGATGCAGCAACTCGAATCTGGCAGCAGCTTTGAATGAGCCGCCTCCGGATTATCAGGGCACCGTAGACATAGCTGGAGAAATAGCACCGACAACCACAATATCCACAACAACGGTCGTTTCAGTTACGCCCAGAATCTAATATGTTTAATGCGTTTCAAGTGTATAAGTACTAACTTATATTTAATTTGATACAAATTATAATACACTTTATTAAATTTAACGATAAACAAAAACTCTTTCAACTCTAACAACGTAAAATTTCAGCCAACGGTGGCCCAAATCTACCATAGGGATCCTTTGGTAGTATTAGTATATTATCGCACCATGAATAGCCAATTACTCGATTCTCAATTATCTTTTTGAAAGCCACATTTTCAGTTATTAGGTCTCGATAATTATCATTTGAAACGACCGCTGCATTGCGCTCATATGCCAATTGTAGTATAAAGCTGAAAGATGAAAAAACAATTATAGATATGTTATTGAAGATGGACTAGTCGTACCGATCATCGTAGCTGATGCTCTGTTGGTTGGGTAGATTTTTACAGGGTGTAAATACAATTTTGCCCTCCTTGTGCAATTGATCGAGCAGCGCTGGATTGGAAGATTTATTGGGATTGCGACGAAACAATGGTATGACGGCCTTGACATCGTGTCCCATTTTTTGGAAGTACTCCACACAATATTTTATGCCCTCCGCAGAGAATATGTTGGAGCAACCATGGCTGCAAATTTAATTAAATATAAAATGAATATTTTTTTAGTCAAGAGCTGCTGGGAGACTCACCCAAAGGCCACATTGCTGCCGTCGATGATGATGGGTCGCTTATGGGAGACGGGCCCGTCCATTTCTATGCCTGGATTATATGTGTTGCTATTATAATCGGCCAGTTTTTTCCGTTCCGTTGTGGTAAAGAGACTTTCGTTCATACGCTGTATGGTCATCCTTGGTGTTTTGTTCAACTTAGGACCATCTTCCTTCGATTTCATATTTCGTTTCCTCTTCGCCCCATGGTCATCGTCGCCTCTGTCGTTGGACAGAGGTATAAAGTCTTCTTGTACAAATATTACACTATCATCTAATGTATTTTCTGGCTTTTGCGACGTCGGCGGCTTCTGCACGCTGGCCACCGCAGGCTCTCTGCGATCATCAATAATGCGAACAGGACTATTATTCCTGTGCAAATTATCAAAGCTATCATCAATTATAATGCAAGTATCATTGTTTTTTGCTGGACTAGCGCAATTTATGGGATACGCCACTGGATGGCTTGTGCCATTTGAAAAACTTTCCCACAGTCGAACTTCTCGCTTCCTATCCACCTCAAAACGACTGAATGTCGGATTGTCATCATCCGCATTGCTGCTGCTGGTTGGCTCCTTAGTGGACTCATCCTCTGAATCATCGTCAATGTTGATTTTAGCCACACTCGGCTCCAATACAATGCAATCATCCTCATCGCTACTCTCAATCTCTTCAATAATCTCGTCCTCGTTTATCGGAGCGTTTACCAATGTCATCGAGCCCGTCGCCTGCAGTTGTTGTTAATTCATCAGCGAATATTGGGGCTAGAATAATTGAGCTCTTCTTTACCTGATTGTTACGATAAAACTTTGGTTTTGCTAGAGGCTGTTCTGTCGGTTGCTGTTTCCCACGCTGAAAGTCCAATTTTCGTTTGGAACTGGCGGCAATTAATGCGCCCTTGAATGGTGTACTAAATGCTCGGCGTTTTATTGAAATTGCGAGTTTCTGTGAGTAACTATTTCTATTCGGCTTGGGGTTTGTGTTATTCAAGCGCTTCAGCGGCTTCTAAAAGTAGCATTTAGTTAAAATCAAAGAGTTGAGTTGAGTTTTATTGCTGCATTACCTTAATTTGATCATCTTTAAACTTTTGGAATTGAGATTTTGTGGGCGGCATTGCGGTACTAGCGTCGTAGGTAATTTGATACTAGTGTCAGATGAGAAATATATGCGTATATTAATTTCTGTATTTGAAGTTTTTGTTTGACATATTGAAAAGTAAACAATTAGCTACTTTTCATACTTACTGCGCTTGCATTTCATTTAACAGAGTTTACTTTAAGGTGCTTTGAGTAAAACTACAGAATATCATCTTTTATATACACCAAATTTATTATTGAATTACATTGATAGCTTACATATTGGATATCAATTATCATATATCAAAAAACTGTTACAATTTTGAGTACATTTTGATTTGATTAAAATACCTCTGTGGTTAGACACTTAATAGAGTTGAATGTGTATTTTACTACATTATGATTGGCGCTTCGCTTTTCCATTTTCAGCTAAGATCATTTCAATCAATTAGATGAGCATTTTCTTTATCTAATCGATTTCTTGTGACTCAATCATATGTTTTTTTTTTTTGTTTTTTTTGTTTTTTTCGTTACTTGAATACAACACAGATGACAACATTTAGTTGCGAAAGGCAACACAGATATTAGATAAAAGCTGAAAATTTGATACTGAATGACTGACTTTATGCCTGGACAGGCGTTCACTGCTTGAGCTCCCTAATCTCGTTGCGTATATTGGCACGTGCCAGCTCCTCGTACTTCTCATGGTATTCGGGCGTGGCATATATCGCTGGTATTAGCAGCAATGTCTCCAGCACCTTGACACGCATCATTTTGTAGTTCTCATCATCCAGATTGGCGTACTCGTGACGCAGCAGCTGGGTGTAGTGCTTGTAGTCCTCCGGCGGAGCACTGCGCGTGGCAGAACAGCAACATTAGACTGTTGTTAAGTGTGCTCTAGTCGAGGGGGTTCGACCAGGCAATACCCTGTACCCAGCTCCACAACAAACACTCAATTGTTTTTCTATATACATGTACAGATACTCAATAGTTTTTCTTTATATATGTACAGATACATATACCCCATTACCACACCATGGAAAATTTTGTCTAAAATAAATTTTTGATAGTTTTTCTTTTGCCAAAAACCAAGGCTCTACCACCAAATTATTTTTAATTGTGGGCGGAATGGAAGAAGGTATTCAAAAAATATTTTGGAATATCGGTTTACAATCGATTTTGTTTTTCGATATCGGAAAAAGTTATCGATAATTGAGAAAATACTTGAACTAGCGTATATACAGACAAACTGAAAGGTATGACTGATTTAGTCGATCTGATAAGGATTATGTATACAATGTAGGAAAAGGAGATGCCTTCTGTTGGGTGGGTACAGGTACAGGTGCAGTGTGCAAGTGTGCAAGTGTAGTGTATTTTGTGAAATACATACGCGAGTACAACCAGATCCACATCCTGCAACAAATTAGCCTCGTCATCGTGCGACCAGGTGACCTCATTGTCTGGCGTCTTGCGCCCCAACAGATTGCACACAAGCGACTTGGCGTGCTCCTATGTTATGTTTTGAATTTCATTTAAAATCTGCATAAATTAGATCAACAGTTGTTGTTGCCTACTCACATCCTCAATCATGGCATCGCGACAAAACTCCTCGAATACCTCGCAATTCTCTTTAACACAGCTGCGATTGCCATCGAAATGATAATATTGAAAGAACGCGGCCAGGGCAATGCTGGGCGCACAGTCGGTTAAATGGTCGTGCTTGCGCTGCATCATCTCCTGCCAGTTATGATAGGCGCGCGTGGGACTATCATCGCTCAGATGCTGCTCAATGCGAGCATACCAGGTGTTGGTCACATCCTCGGGCACATCATAGTGTTCACATATATTACGCCAGATTTGTTCCATTTCTTTACTTTTTCGGTTATTATTTGGATTTTTTTTGGTGGGTTTAGTTACACTTTTTGGCCAATTTTCCTGCTTGCACAAAATTGCAATGATTCAATTTTCTGGAAATTTGTTCTGGAACTCGCGCAGTTTTTCACTAACTTTTTTTCTTGGTTTTTGGGGGCCTGACGCGTGCGCAGAAAGTAATTTTGCATCTGCAGCAGCACCCCCTAAAAAAGCAGAACGACCCGCCATTAATCGCGTCACGGAAATTATAAATAAAAATAGAATATACATATAACCGCAACAATACTCACATCCATTTCGCCCGCTGCAGCAGCAGAAGTAGACGCGGGCTCACCAAGCGCTGGTTCTGCAAATTCTTGGCACGTGCTTGAGGCTGCTGAAAGTGTTAGCAAGGCTCTTCGGCTTTTGCGCGGGGATAGGTGCTTCTCTTTCTTGTGGCGGTGCCTGTGGATTTTACCTCTTTTCTTACAACCACTTTTACTTTTTTTACCCATTGTTTAATAGTGTTTTTAGAACGCAAAAAATTGAATTGCTAACGAAACGTGCGCATACAAAACACAAAGCGAACTGCAACAGCTGATCAGCGTTGCCAGAATGCCAGAAAATCTCAAGCAATTACTTTTAGTATATAAAAAACTTGTATACTTTGTTACAATTAATGTACTTTTTTGCTATTATATTGGGGGTAATTTGTTGTATCGGCAACTAATTATTAATTAATTTTAATTAAATTTTTTTATCAGCATGCTACCAGTTGCAAAACACTTTGGCCGTCCTGTATACAGGTTGGCAACCCTGGCCCTGTGAAATGTCAAACGAACTTGTGAAAGTAATCATTTCCAAATCTGAATTTTACATTACTTGTTTCAAAAAAGTTATTAGTTTCTAAAATTGTTGGATTGTTACGGTGCGAAAGCCGTTTGTAAGTTTACAACTTTGAGAACAGTTGTCGCCAAGGACCGTCTATCCACATTTAGTACTAAATTACACTACATTTGGTTGGTGAGCATCGCTGTGGCCCATTTGTGTTGCCCTTTGTTCCCAGTTTCAACGTTTCAACGTTTTACACACACATCCGACAGTTTAAAATGGATGTCGAAAAATCTAGCAGCAGCTCCTTTGAAGATCTAACCAATGCCGATGACACCAAGGATTTCCGTGCAGCCCAAGTACACATAAGCGACTTTGAAACTTCCGAAGCTGATGTTGGCTCTGCAAATATTGACAGTCACGCTGAGGCCACAACGCAGGAGGATGAGTTGGACGACGATATCGAATGCGATATTTTGGGTAACAAGCAGCTTATAAAACGCATCATCAAAAAGGCACCAGCCAACGCCAAGCGTCCCAGTCGCGGTGATCTAGTGACCATTACATATACCGGAAAACTGGACGATGGCACCGTTGTCGAGAAGGAGGAGCGCTTCCAATGCCATGTGGGCGACTTCGAGGTGGTGCAAGG